GACTATCTGTAACCTCTTCACCCGCGGTTATAGCTTAATGCAGATGCTCACTTTCATAGACAACGTACTCCTTTGTTTTGATACCATTTTTGTTTCGACGAGTCCCTGAATTTAGAATATTTAATCCTTATGAGAGTGAAATGACCAAAATACTTCTAGAAGGATAAGGCTTGACTTTTGTTGACCTTGTGCTCATGACACGTATGAGATAATATTTTAGTTTATTCTTATAACACTTGACGTTACGAATGTGAGAACGCAAGTGGAACGAAATTTGAAGTTAAAACGAACATTTTACGAAGCGTTAAGGCCAAGTATATTTTAGTAATTTTCCACTTGGATATTTTTCTATGGCCCCTGTTCTTTCACTTTTTGGGGAGGGGGGAGAGGAGAAAGAGACTCTGGAAAGCTCTCAAAATATCCTTTCCCTCTCGTTTTCTCCTCAGGCAAACGCACACAAGGATCACTTCTCAATTTTCTCTACGTATCGAGTTCTTGAGACCACCATCATCATCCTCTCAGACTTGTTCCTAACCTTAGCTTTTGGAAATCGAACCTGAGACGATGGTTCTAAAAGCTCCGCCGCATGCTCACTTTTTTCGACGAAATTTTGCCATTTTGGGGGGAAGGTAAGGTTTCTAACCACCATAATTAGATTCCTCTCGTTGAGTAGATGATTTTTCATATATAGTGGTGTGAAATGGTTGAGAAGTGGCGAGGCTAAGGAAGCTTCTAGGTTTTTCGACGAAAAAACCCAGATTCCGACAAGAAGTCTGGCATTGCAACGGTGAGGAACCAGGTCAACTCAACCCGAAAACCCCGTTCGGATTTGGCAGCCTGGATCCGACATGATCTGAACCCAAATCTGACCTAGTTCGGACCTGTATCCGAGTCAAATATTCCATTCACTAGCAGTTAGTTTTAATAGAATATTTCGTTTGTGGCGGTGAAATAGTCCACTAAAATTGATCATTGAGTTTTTCGGTTTCAACCCTAGAGGCTAGGATTCCTCCTAGGGTATTTCGACGTGTTATTCCAATTCCGCACCATATTTCTTCAAATTAATCGTCTTAACAGAGTTTTGCTAGTTGGTTATTGTACGTGTCTATGTGCAGTTGCTATCGGTGAATCAGTAATAATTTCAAACAATTATGAAGTCGACATTGAATTTCTCTTACAGAAGGTGAACTACGATTACCTTGATCCCTTCACAATGTACGTAGGCAATCTAACTTGAAAGTTAGATGCAGGCACAAGATTAAATAAAATTAAATATTTTATTCATGTCTCGAAATTCAGAATGAGACATTATTGTGTTTCGGCCTAGTTACGAACTTTACTAGATTGACAAGGATAAGACTCCTTAAGGAGGAGCAAGCTGAATGGGTGACCAGACCTTGATTTTCGATATGTGGGCAACATCAAATATTAAGCAGGCTTAGCTAAATATGATTTTAGTCATGTTTATGGCAAAAATAGATTTTATGAATTAGAATCAAACATTGTAGTATATGTTTGTATGATTTGGCTTACACTAGCCACGACTAATGGATGACCATGACATCCAGCTTAAATGTATATGGTATACATACTCAGGTTGGTCTACAAGTGCATGATACATACTCAGCTTTTCATTACGTAGATTACTCCATAATGACATGATTATACAGTCATGCCCTCGTATTGTCATTACTTCAAGACTACTCAATAATGACATGATTATATTAACCAACTTACTAACTACGACTAGCATATGATATTGTATGTTATGTCACCGGGGTTAGTAGCATTTATAGTGAGCATATTCGACGTGGATACATCTTCCCAAAGCTCCGACACATTCTTATCAGATAAGTTATCTACTCATCTTTATTATTACAAATTGTATTTTGGTAAATATGCTCTAAACATATTATCAGACGTGTAATTGAGGGTCAAAAACCTATTAGGTGTGGCCTTTCAAGGGAGGTGTTGGAATATTGGTGATACTTGTAGGTGTTTATATTTGGGCCTATCCCTATTTTAAGGGAAGTTCTAGCAAATTTTCAGTAAATTGTAATAGTTCAACACTTTCGTTATAACTTTATGCATATCATGGCTTCATCACCCATCCGAGTGATAGCCTGAAAGCCTTAATTTTAGTGCCCATTGGACATCAGGGTTGGGGTGTGTTAATTTTATTGTAGTATGATTAGCACACTATTTGTCTTACTTGATATGAATTGTCAAATGCCAAGAGAAAACAAAACAAATGGTTGAATAACTACAAGAAAATGCATGACAACCTTAGATATATAGTTGAAAATCAAAATACGCATAACAAACTGTCAAATTGATGAACAAACTGACTACAAATGGATATATATAATTATGTTGAACAAAAGGAAGGAGAAAACAACAAATTAGTTGAGGTGGCTGCATAACTCGAAGATTACATTGTGACTGACTTGTATCAATAGAATAACAAAACACCATATTGATATAGCTAACCCTAATTCCTATCAAGCATCTCAGAGCTTAGATGATCATTTCATCTTTCTCCAACCTATACGAGGGCTCGGACATGAGTATCTCTGAGGCGCGTTTGTCACACAGAGTACTAAAGCCTTGAAATATCTTGTAATCGTAAATGCATACATACACGACATTTGACACTCTGAGGTCACTACCACAATCATGCGAAGCGCCTCAAAATACAGCTGAAAACCACCAACTAGGAATTACAGTCACTGTCAATGCCAAATGATCGGTTCACCCTTACTCTAGCTCGTGACATAGTCGAGGTTGCTCCTTTTCCATTGCCTATAAATAGAATAGACACCTTCGAGCTCATGACCTTCGTCAAATTCAATTTATATGATTATACAAACCTTTAGTGATTCTGCAGTCAACCCAATTGCTTTTCAGCACAAAGCCAATTGCTTTTCAACTACAAACCCAAAGTCTTCCTTCAAAGCAAACACTGCCTCATTCCTTTAGATTTAAAATTGTTATAGCTATGCCAGCTCATGGTATGATTTGGTTGACATACAAATACAACCACTTTAATTCCCTTTTTGAGGAGTATGTTTTGTATTAAGTCCAGTCCGAAGACAGTGATCTCGGTGGACTCTAGCATTATTTTTCCATTCATGGCATGAATCTTGCTAAAAGCTTTTACTGCTTTCTTTATATTTCAAGTTCATTTACATTTTAAGCCACGTAGTCCGGCCCATTAGCCTAGATTTTACTTTATGAACATTTGCAATCCTGACTCCGTTTTGAAATGCTTACATTATGTTTCTCGCTTTAAGTTATCATTTATCTTGCATTTACATTTAGGCAAAAACACACAAATTTGCATTGAATTATAAGTCTTCGTTCACTCAAGGCACCGAAAATAACCTAGCCGAATCGGCATCCTACACCGTGCATAATCGTTTGATTAAGAAGTCATTCCTGCACAACCTCACATTCACTCATATACAATCATTCTTTTTTGGCAGCCTCCAATAGTGACATGCATATTCTCTCTTTCACACGAATCATCTCGTGGCATTGAGATCGAAAGCAACATTTAGAGCAAATATGTTTTTGAAACCGAATGCCAAACTCCGTCCAAGTTTTGACACCAACAATAAGCAAGTAAGTGAAACCTAATCCATCATAATGGCAAGGAATCCAAAACTTAAGCCCACAAGAAAACTCATAAAGTATCAAACTACGGTTACATAATAATAAAATAAATTAACTTTTTCCAACATGTATACGATGAACTTCTACCAAACTACCAATGCATCAAACAAAAGAAACAAAATTGATCGTGGCTCCATTTCAGCGTTGTATGATAAGGCATTGAAATTCGTATTCTTCGCCTCAGGAGTTTAGAGCTAAAATTGCTAAGACCAAGACTTATCCTTACTAAAACAAGAAAGACTCATTTAAAATTTTTACATGCACTCAACTACTATTCAGATATTCTAATTTGTGATGACAATAAACATTGTATCAACATAAAATCTGAGACTATCCACAAAAGAATGTTGTTGAAGGTTACTAATGACTTAGACTAAAAAGAGAGGCAAGACCTATAATTTTCTTCTGTTTGCTAGATCATTTCCCATGGGTCCAACACCCGAAAGTTAGGGCATGACCAAAAACATCCAATTAGGTTTCTTCAACGCACAAAAAGGCATTGGACCTCCATATATTTGACTAAATCAAACTTTGATCTATATTTAGTGACCTCACCATACGCTATCCAATTCAAAATCATCACCATGTGTTGCAACTTAAAGACAAACTAAAGAGAAAAGGAGTCAAAGCTTTCTTCCTAAGTAAGTCATAATATCAGTAAACCTAAACACACAAAACATCCATGACCTTCTTTATTTGCTTATCTTGTAGATAAGCACGACCTCCTTCTCCCGAAAGTGCTTTTGGAATTGACTTATTAACGGTAGATTTTTTTTCAAATTAAAAAGAAAAAAAAAAGGAAAAAAAAAGAAAAAAAAAAGGAAAACGAAAGTCCACATGATCATAACCCCAACAAAATAAATAAATAAAATCCCCGTACTGTGCCCACCATTATCAACCAATAAAACAACCAAAAGATCTCGCACTCCAATCAACCTGTCGGAAAGCCCCCATCAGCGGCGGAGATCACTCCACGTTTCGATACGACAGTGGCCAGACATCAAATCACGATCTCAGCTCGTGATTGGTCCACGTTTCGAGATCTGATCGCTCAACCACCCACTTCAGTATTAAAAAATCTAAAAAATTCCAAATTCGTAGCCTCCGAGCCGACCTTAAATATGGACTCGTGTGGAGGCGGCACAAGACACCTGTCGCCTCCACGCATCGCAGACAAAGCCGAAAGCTCAGAGAAACAGTCTCTCTCTCTCTCTCTCCAGCGAGGAGTCACTCCCTCAATTTTCCAAAAAAAAAGGAAAAATAATTAAAAAGAAAATTAAGGTAATTAAGTCCTTCTCTTTCAGCGTTTTTCTTTCTGTCTTTTAGTTTATTTTTCGTTTCAGCTGATTTTTTTTTTTTCTGTTTATTCGGTTTGTCTTTATCTGATTTAATACAGTTTACTCATTATTCAATTAATTTAGCCTCCGAATTTTTCTGGGTTTTATCCTTTCTTTTAGCTTTAATTGTTTTTGTTAGGCAGGGAAGCAAATTTATGCAGTTTGTTAGATGGGTTGTTGTTTTAGCTGTTTTGGTGGTGAAATTTTGAAGTAAAAATATGATTAGGGTTTTGATTTGTCTCTTAGTTTCTAATGGAAAGATTGCAACTTTTTCTAATTTGTTGGGGGTAAGTAAGATTTAGAGAAATGGGTTATTTTTGGGTGACAGTCATGAGTTAATGGAGCTGGAGAATTTGGAAATCCTTGTTAGTTTGTTTTTGGTGTAAATTTGTGGATCTGAAGCTAAAGAGAATATGCAATGGAAAAGTAATGGTAATTTCCAAATTTGATCTGAATCTTGTGGAAAGGTGTGAAGGATAAGTTGTTTGCTTCTGATGATTTTTCACACTCTGTCCTGCTTCTTCATAATTGCAAATTCTTGAAAATGGAATCTTTTGTCATGATCTCAGTGTTGTCAAGCTGCTGTTGGTGGATTGAATAAAGCCACTGTTGTGATTGTTTTCATTGATTTGTCTGTTTCTTAAACTTAGGGGTGTGTTGGAATTTACTCTCCCATGTTTCGTTTGTCTAGTCAGTAGTGGTTGTTGTGCGCGTACGATCCACTGAGGTTTAACCCTGCATCATTTCGATTCGTTTTTAAAAAATGGTTATTGAAATGTGTAGTGCTAGTAAATTTTCTGTTTCGTTTACCTATCATTTTCCTGATTTTTTTATGAACGTGGCTGACTGAGTGAATTGGATGTACATATAGAGTTGTTTGCACAGCTAGCTTTCAAGTTTAGAAGATGGGGTCTAATTTCAATTTCAAGAGCTTTGGTGAAGCACCACCAGTGGAAGGCAATGGTGGGAGGGCAGGAGGAAGTTTTGGATTGGTGCGGCAGTCTTCGGTGTACTCATTGACGTTTGATGAGTTCCAGAACACGATAGGTGGACTTGGAAAGGATTATGGATCAATGAACATGGATGAACTGTTGAAAAATATATGGACCGCTGAGGAGACTCAAGGCATGACGGCTACTTCTGGGGTCGGAGGGGAAGTAAATGCCCCGGGGGGTAATTTGCAGAGACAAGGTTCGTTAACGTTGCCGCGAACGCTTAGTCAGAAAACGGTTGATGAGGTTTGGAAAAATTTGATTAGAGAGACTACTGATTATAAGTATAATAATGTTGCCGCCGGTTCGAATTTGCCACAGAGACAACAAACTTTGGGAGAGATGACCTTGGAGGACTTTCTGTTGAAAGCAGGGGTCGTGAGAGAAGATATACAGCCACCAGTTGTAAGGCCTAATAATGGTGGATTCTATGGTGAATTATACCGTCCTAAAAACAACGTTGGTTTAGCTTCCGGCTTTCAACAACCGAATATAAGCAACGGTATTTTGGGGAATCGAGTTGCGGACAACAAAAATTCAGTTCCAAATCAGTCTCCTACTTTAGCACTTAATGTTGGTGGAGTGAGAACTTCTCAGCAACAAACGCTGCAGTTGCCCCCACAACAGCAGCCACTCTTCCCCAAGCCTTCAACCATGGCGTTTGCCCCATCTATGCATTTGGTAAACAATGCTCAGCTAAGTAGCCCAAGAACTAGGGGACCAATGGCTGGGGTTGTGGAACCTTCTATGAACACCGCTTTCTCTCAAGCTGGAGGGTTTCCGGGCGCAGGAATTGGCGCGGTTGGTTTGGGCACTGGGGGCGGTGCAGTTGCAACAAGATCTCCTGCAAATCAGATATCCCCGGATGTAATTGCTAAGAGCAGTGGGGATACATCTTCATTGTCGCCGGTACCTTACATGTTTAACCGGGGAAGGAAGTGCAGTGGAGCTGTGGAGAAAGTAGTTGAGAGAAGGCAAAGGAGAATGATAAAAAACAGAGAATCTGCTGCAAGGTCTCGCGCTCGTAAACAGGTGACCCCATTGGCTCTGCTACCATCATACATTTAAATACTATCTCGATGTGTTGCACATTGTATTTTGAAATTTGACTTTAATTTGTTGTGTTCGAGTGGTCTTGTGGTTTAGCTGTAGTTTTAGACCTATATTTTGATGTCTAGAGTGGTGGCACTTTGTGCATCAACATGCATTTCAGCTGAACCATACAAATGTATAGTTTTTTGGGGAGAACATTAAAGATGCATACCTTCGGACATTTGCATTCACATGTAGAATTCTTACTGATCCCTTCTCGTGACCAAGTAAGGACATGATATCCCGCCTAAATCTTCGGACTTAAAACAAAATCCAGTTCAAACTGAAATCCCTACAAACCCTAATCTTTTACAAGTCTTCTGGTTTTACTATAAAAGTTTCTGTGAGGAACAAACAAGTAGAAATGACCGACTGTAGCCTCCAATTAAAGGTTTGTTAGCTTTTTGTCTATGCAAATGGGTGCTATTTATGTACCTAAAAATCTATAGAGCATCTACTAATATTTGATGAAACCCAGTGAGGAGGTTTTGTGGTGTCGATATGATTGTATCATTGTCTGAATGCATAAAGCAGCCTTCTGCACTGCCAATGTACAAAGTTCAAACGTGAATCTTTTCCTTCAAAAGTCACTGAGGGCTAAACGTCTTCAGGGATTTTGAACTTGAGATGTTTTCTGAATCCTAGAACAGCTCCGTCAATTAATGGCGATCTGCTTTGTTCATCCTTTTGTTTAAGAAAGACGATTCATAATTGTTTAAACCTTTTGTTTTCGGTTTCCTGCAGGCCTATACCTTAGAACTAGAGGCAGAAGTTGCAAAACTTAAAGAAATGAACGAAGAATTACAGAAAAAACAGGTACATGATATATGTACATTAAAGCATAATTGTCTATCAACCTGGTTGTCCTAGTTTCGCTAACCCTCCTCGACTTCACTTTGTTTCTCCGCAGGAGGAAATTATGGAAGTGCAGAAAGATCAGGTACATCATTGTTCGTATCTCTCCAGTCTCTATGTAATTCATTGCTCTCAGATAAGATAACCAATGAAGCAAAACAAGTATATTTCTTCGAGTGTTCACTTGCATCTTGATGCATTTTAACTGCAAAGTAAACCGACCAATCCCGTTCTCTGAATGTGTTGGCAGATGTTGGAGACAATGAAGCGGCAATGGGGAGGCAAAAGGCAATGCTTACGACGAACATTGACAGGCCCTTGGTAACTCGGATGAAATTGGACTGCGAATATAAGATGAGTGCTCGAGTTTACGAACGTTATAGGTAGTTCGGTACAGAGATTGGAGCTTGTATCTGGTATCTGAATCCAATCTTATACTAGAAACAGTAGGTAACTGGTCTGTATAGGAGAGGAGTGTTGAGTTGTAAATTATAAAAATAATTAAAGTTAATTAGTCTCATCCTGTAGATTAAACTTCTTGTGTTTTTGGTGTATTCTTTGCTTCTCATTTGATGGCAGGGGGAATCTAGTTTAATTAAACAAGCCATATTTGGACTACCTTCGAATTTTTTATCTAATTAATTAACACGTTTCTGCCGCTCATATAAACTGATTTCACTTGAACTCTTGCGTTCACTTTTCACCTGGACTCTTGCGTTCCAATCCCCCTCCACCACTACCTATTGCTTGTATCAACATTGAAAAAAGAAAAAAAATAAATAAAATGAATTCACTATTATTCTTCTGGTTCATGGTGCATTCTAGTATTTTAATCCTCGTTTGATGGCAGTGGGAATCTAGTTTAATTAAACAAGTCAAGTTTAAACTATCTTAGTAGTTTTCATCTTATTAGTTAACACGTTTCTGCTGCTCATATAAATTGATTTCACTTGCAAGGAACCAATTTATAGTTTAGTTGGCTAAAAGCACTTACTTTTCACTTGAACTCTTGCGTTCGAATCCACCACTATCTATCGCTTGTATCAACATTAAAAAAAAAAAAAAAAAAAAGGGAAAAAAAACTTAACTGAATTCACCATTATTCTTCTGGTTCATGATGCATTATGATATTTTAATTCTTATTTACAACGATATAAAGTTGATATAATAAGGTTCAAATTTTAATTACCATTTTCATACCAATATTTGGATATATAATTCAGGAAATAGTAGTTTTTTTTTTTTTTTTTTTTGAGATGAGATACGATATTATTGAGAATAAGGAACCATAACAAGAGGATAGCAAAATAAAAGAGAGTGAACCCTAAAAATGCCTTGTTGGGGCTGCCAACTCAGAATCAAGGAAAAAAAGGGGCCACCAAATACATCAAATACTCAAAGGAAAACTACATAACACTATCCTCTAACAAGGCATCTGCAACTAAATTTGGAGGTTCCTCAAACCAATTCACCTCCTGTTGCAATCCAATTCCAGCTCGTGCAAGATGTGCCACTTGATTGGCTTCTCTTTGGACCAACAAAATCTGTAAATCATGTCCGTTCATCGTATATCGTGTGATCAGTTTTGTCAGGTACTGTTTGTATTTGAAATTATATTTTCTATTAGGAAGTGTTATTAGCACTCCAAGAATCTCATTCTACACTCCTCACAAGTGTATTTTTCTTTCTAAATATAGAAAGTTTGGAGTGTAGAATGAGAATTTTAGAGTGCCAATAACAATTTCCTTTCTATTTTTCATCATTAATTACTAGCCAAACCATTTTTCTAGTATTAATTATATTTGTAGCTCAACGGAATAATAATCCGTTGTAGTCTAGTTGGTCAGGATACTCGGCTCTCACCCGAGAGACCCGGGTTCAAGTCCCGGCAACGGAATAACCTTTTTGTGTTTTGGTTTCTCTACCATTTTTCTATTTGCACCTGTTCTTTCAGAGTCTTCACAATTCCTCATCAACTTTCCATTCCAAAAGACATAAAAGTAGAAAACATTTACAGCCGGCCGTACCAACAAAAATATTCTACATAATATTCAGGCCTTTCCATCTCCAACACATTATTTTTTACATCAATTGCTAAAGCTAGAAGCCTGGACCGGTGAATCAGCAGTGTCGTGTAATGCAATGATGACGTATCTGTTTTGTGAACGGGCACTTGGGGAAACGGATGGACAAACTCAACACTCAAAAATCCATCCAAACTGCTTGGTAACTAGATTCTCCTTCCGTTGCCCATTATGAGTTGGGCAGACTATACTCTTCATGGCTAAGGGCTGAAGAAAGAATCGCCTTCCATCCGCAAGGACTTCAATCTATGAGTCTAGATCATCCTAAGTCCTCGGGTAATCATAAACGAGGCCTTCTGCAACACTTCTTGCCCTTGCATGACCATGTAGTTTGCTCACAATAGCTAACGCAAAGTCTGTGACGGTAGAAAGTCCTCTGCTTGTAATCAGTTTACCATCGATAACTACTTTGGTGCCATTTATCACTTCGTTTGTGAGTTTGCTTACAATGGAAGGATGAGCGGTGGCTTTCTTACCCTATATTTTGCAAAGAAAGCATAAGGAATCATATAAGCAAAAAATAAACATTAAAAATATAGAAGAAAGAAAAGAAAATTTTATGGTACCTTCAATAAGCCTTGTTTATGTAGGATTGCTGGCGACGAACAGACCGCCCCATATACTCTTCCAGCTAGTTCTTGTTCTTTGAGGAGGTTCTTTAGAATCCTAGATTTGCTTAGCCGCTCAGCCCCAGCATTTCCTCCCTATCAGAAGGAACCAGAACCATTGAATGGTCTACTTTGTAACAGGGAAAAATCTTTTTTTGTTTTTTGTCACACAGTTACCAACAAAACAAAAGCGTACATAAACGCAACAGTACTTAAGAAGTGCCTATCTATCTAATACTGAATAAGTATATACCTCTACAACCCATTTAAGGAATTAATAATTCTACATTTTGCTTTTTCATTTTGATTATGCACCGCACAACGCTAAAGATAAATACCATCACCAAAGTCAGAATTCAATATTTACGCTTCATAACTTAATCTTAGATCTTGATAGTTTGTTTAAGAACATAAGAAAGATAAATGTATCACTAACTATTCGGTTTGTCTCACCGGAAGAATGATTAAGTCGTATGTTGACTCTGCAGCAACACCAATCAACTTGTCAGCAATGATTTTGGTGCCTTGAGATCCCAAAATCCGCACAGATTTTTCAACTGAAGCAACTATAACATCCACATGTGCTCGTCTCAGAATATCTACAATAGTTACTACTTCAATATCTTCAGATCCATTTGCAACTGGAATCAGAACCTGCATGACAATAGAATGATAAAAAGCTTCTTACGCCAAAAAGAGGGACACAGAGAAATAGAATGACAGGCAGAAGATACTATGTAATAAAAAAACCAAAATAAATAAATGTAGGCAGTCATGTAAAAGTGTAATCAGAAATGTGAACAGGGTTAAGAGTCAAATGAAAAGAGCGTGGAGGTGAATTGTTATCCAAAACATATTTTATCGTTAATCAAAACAAGCATTTCAAAATTTTTTAGATGACAAAGAATTTTGAAGTTCATATACATTATTTGTAGAGAAGGATGTTCTGCATCCAATCGAACTGCATATCTATAGATCGAGGTTACAAAAGATTAGTCATGAAGCAGAAATAAAAGAAACTTACTCGAGGGATGTGATCAAAAGACCATTCAACGTCATTAAACTCCTCCGTTTTAGATTCCTCATCATCAGGACAGATCAACTAATACAAGAGATGCAGAGTATTAGCTCAAAGCTATCACGAAAAAGGTATTACGACACTGAATATGAGAAGGAAATACCATAGAAATATAAAGAATCTGAAAAGAAACATCTTTATTAGATGAAGAAAACCATAGTTTAGGCAGGCTTTTCCTAGAGACTGTCTGACAAAGGATGGAGTTTTTTGGATAAAAGGATTGCAAAGTTTATACAATGACTTCACAGACATGAATGCTCACTCAAACGCTTGTATAATGAACAAAAAAATGAGACAGGATTTTACTAAGCATCTATCAAGAATCAAGCTAAAGCATGAGTTCGGACACACTAACATTACACTATTACAGTAGTAGGGCTCACCACTCACCAGCGATTCTCCAATTTCCTTGGCAACGGATTCCCCAAATAGCTGTTCTACTAGGCATAGGGCAAACCCATAAGAAGTTCCAGGGCCACGGCTTGTTGTGAGTCCTCCTGACACCTGAATGTTTGATTTGACTGCCCAGAACGTCGGAAGCTTGTGCATGAATGCAGGGTGGCAAGTAGTCTTGCATAACACACTAACAACCATTAGCCGAAAAAAGCACACTGAAATTGACAAAATTTTGAAAATTTAACCAACAACCCACCTGCCTTCTCTTTAAAAGACCCCATGGCAGAAGTGCTACTGCCGGAGCAGCACATATGGCTCCATATAACCTACTTTCCTCAGCCTGCTTTCTTGTAATTTCCTGGAGTGCTGCACAGTCTCTTAGCCTCACCGATCCCGGCATTCCTCCCTTGAGGTCATACGCATAAAAATCATCAGTGGATGCTATAAGTTGTCAAACTTAAACACAAGACCATCACCAAACTTTCTAATATATTGATCCAGTCAAATGAAAGGCGAAAGTTCAGGCGTGCAAATGAATCGCAAGAATTCCAAAAATAACACCTCCAGAATGCAGAATACCTTGTGCCTACAATTTGTATTGCTTCAAACTATAGATGCACACTATTGCACTTCTTTTAAACTTTCTCCAGCTCGAAAATTAAAAGAAGACAACTTCCTGTGGCTCTCATTCTACTTTAAAAAACTTTGGTTGCTTTAGTAATAAGTTTCATCATGCACAGTATCCCCATAACCAGTAACTACGAATGGTTAACAATCTCAACGACCAATTTACGTGTATGTACCGCATTTTATCACTAGTTCATTACTTAATAAACTATAAATTCATGAAACGTAACATAAATTGGTCAAGAACAACTAACCGGCAACGCCACAAGATCAAAAATTTGATCGGAACACGAGGAAATGGAGGTGTCAGCAACCAGTTTAGTGCCGCAAGAAGCTTCAATCTGGAGCTGCGGCTCCACGGAGGCCACAGTAACATCGGCACCAGCTCGGCGCAGAACATCAACCATAATGACAGCTTCCATTTCTTCTGTCCCATACCCAATTGGCACCAGAACCTGCGCATAATACATAAAAAAAGAAAAACTAAAAAATTCAGCTCTCTCTCACTTAAAGTTCCGTTTGGTTGCTGAGAAAGTAAAGATCACAAACCCAACAACCCATTTTTTTCAAAGTTTCCATTTTTCTCATCCATTTTCTCAGCAACCAAACAACATTGACGGAAAAGCTGATGTGGGTATTGCGAAAAGACCTTCCTGGGAGGCACCGAAATTGGGTTTGTTGTTGCTGTTGCGGAGAGGGTTTTAGTGGGTTTTGCAGAGTGTATTGAAGTAGGTGTTCTTCTCTGTGCAGAGGCCATGGAGGTAACTGAGAACGAAGGAAGAGTGGCTGCAGAGGCAGCCATTGAAGCGAGCTTCGGATAGCAGA